CATTAATTTCTTTTGTTTTTGGTATATGAATTATTAATGAGTTTAAGAACTAATTTTAATGTCTTAACTTGTTTCTTTAACATTCTGTCAACCAATTTTACGATCGTCGAAAAACTTGAATGAAAAAGGTGAATGCAGGTATAGCCCAAACATCACATATAACTATAATTCGCCTGATCATCGCGTGCCCCTGCCAATCCACGTGACAAACGCCCTCAGCATATGGTCAAGTTACTTCTGAATCTCTTTGAACAATACCGCGTTTCCAGACACTGTTTTCCAGGGACTATATGATTATTTTGACAAATGTTACCTACAGGTACGTGCGTGTGTCTATTTATCTTTTATCTTTTAAATAAATAATAAAACAATTATTTAATGAGATTTTTGCATGAAATATCAAGGCTTCAGTTTATGTCATCAAACTCGTGCTTCGGCTTTGGCCTTGATAATTCTTCATATCAAGCTCAACCTCATTCTAAAAAGTTTCAGAGATATTCAAGATCTTTTCCAAATTGAACGAGATGAATAAGATAAAGCTTCAGACTCAACGATATTTTGTTAATATAATAATATGACGGTCTACAGATACCTTGTTAAAAGATTATATATATAATACGGATTTCAACGGTGTTCCATATTTAGAGGCGTTAAAATTGTGTGTGTTTTCAACCCATTGGCAAAATTTTTTTTATAGCGCAAAAAAAGTTACTTTTAGGGTTGGGCGATATTTCGATATTTTGATTTATCATGATATTTTCAATCGCAATTATCGTATCGAAGGTAGAAACTGAGCGACGATATATCGAAATTATCGTCATGCTCGCTGACTGTCGTGATATTGCTTCGCATGTGTATATAGCTTTTATAAAAATTCTAAAAAAATCCTTCAATTTCTAGAAAATATAGTTTTAAAAGAATTAAAACTATTTCCTGAATTAAATACGAATTTAATACGATATATTAGTTAATTCCTGGTGTTACGTTCACCAATATACCATTTTAACTTTTATACATCCTAATAATCCCTACATATCACTGGTAATTTAGTACTCCTTGGTAAACTAGTAATCCTTTGTAATCTAGTAATCCTTGGTAATCTAGTAATCCTGGGTAATCTAGTAATCATTTGTAAGTTAGTAAGCCTCGGTATATTTAGTAATCCATGGCCGGTAATCTAGTAGTCGTTTGTAAGTTAGTAGCCTTGGTAAGGTAGCAAGCCTTGGTAAGCTAGTGAGCGGCAGAACAATGCAATTGCAGGCTATGCTTGCGCTGTGTGCCCATGGCATCTGTGCCTTTGGAGACACAGTAGTAGACACTGGATAGACTGTTCAGGTGTATTAACAGTAAATATCAGACTAGAAAAAGCCTTCATATTACTTTAATTTGTTGTTTTACTTGTTTTAACAAGATTATATATAAGCTTAATATGCTTTGATATTAATTAAAATTGAAAAATGTGGTTATTGTTTTTGTTGCAGTTATCGCGATATTATCGAATATCGTGATAACTTCGTCGACAATAATCGTGAGATGATTTTTTTAATATCGCCCAACCATACTTACTTTACGATTATCACAGCCAACAAATGAGGTTGAATCATGGGTGAATCCGGAGGTACTTGAAGACGTGCTATAACTGTAGAAAAAAATTTTCTTATTTAATATGCAGTATTTTACTTATTTCCTTGTTTCCAAAATCATTTTGATTTACGTTTAGTTAATTAATACCTGCTCATTTGCTTGTCTGAAGGAATTATTGTAATGTTTACCTAAATGCTCCTGAGTAGTCAATTTGATCGGAATATTTGTGGTGGAAAGCAAAGCCAAGTGGACAGGGCTTTTCCAAACAAAAGTTCATCATGTCCTAAAAAATGCAATTTATTTTTATATAATTTTGATACGCATCAACAACAATTCAAAAGCTATCTGAAATAAATTAACGACTTATTTCAAACAAATTAATGATTTTGTAATGCAGAGATTTATTCATTCATTTGCTAAAAGTAAAATAATCTTGAAATACTGACCCAACCATATTTTGATGATTTAGGATAGTAAGTGCCGAAGTGTGAACAGCGAAATTTTGTTGTAACTATTTTTCCAGTCTGTAGGTCTTTAACGTAAGATACATCTCCAATTCCTGGTGATAATCGTCCACATCCTCCTTCATTCACGACCAAAAGATTCTTTAAAGGACGTTTATTGTGTAATCTGAAAAACCTATATAATAATATTGTCAAGACATTACACTGTCAGTATTACACGACTATTATCTCCCTTATGAATAGAAAAATGTATGTTTGATGCTTACATTATTATCTACCATATAACATTTATAGTACGCGAGCGTGGATTGGTTGAGAAACGTTTTTCTACAACTGCCTGGAAACATGATTTTTTCTGCGTTGGTGTAATGTACTCAGGTGAATATGATGTTTGTGATGTTACTCTGAGTGTATATCCACACCGGGCAAGCTTGAAAAATATGCCTGGTCACGGCGGGAATCGAATCTAGACGACCTTTGGAAAAATTCACGTCTCGCAGCATTGATTTTAAAACGTAAACAAAACAAACAACTTAACACGCACTGTAATCGAAAAAATTTATGAAAACACCATTTTTTACATCCAAATCAAGGAACCAGAAAGTAAAAGAAAATTCTCAGTTTGAGGCTGCTGTTTTATTGGAGAACTTGATGCTCCTTCAGTTATGTCATAAAAGAAATAGAAGTAGGTTTTCCTTTTTCTCTACAGTTACAGAAAAACTTGTGGTTCTTTGGAACAACCCGAAATAACTTAGGGTAAAATCGCTCTTCGGGATCGTTTCACACTGATTTTAAAACACCGAAAATGTTTCCTAGGTCTCAAATATGATTCACGCATTTAAACTACTGTATGCTAATTAAAAATTTATGTTTGTAATGCACTGCGTATAGTACTGAACAAAAACTCTAATTAGCAATGACTGCCATTCTTACCAATGTGCTCTTGTTGCTCCGAAATCTTCTTGTGTTGCCATTTGAACACGAAAGTCGAGTATCGGGGCATCGCCAAGCGAACTGGACCAATGAGGTTCACCGAATGGTTCAACGGGATTGCTATTTGATGGTACTGTCCACGTGACTGAACTGTTTTTACGGCCAATCAATATCCAACCCCCTCCATCTGTTTTCATGTCACACCAAATCTGAAACAGAAGATTTTAGATATTTTGTTGAAGGCAAATTCAGAATACAAAACGAACCAATTTATAAGCATTTATATAATTATATATAACGAGGAATCCTGGTATGCAAAATAGACATGCACACTTTCGCTACCGAGTATAGAAACGAGGTAACATGCATGGAATTGACTCAATTGAGTCCCGCTGACTAACATTTCCCTATGCCTACAAAATTGTGCTAGACAGAATACTAGTGTTCAGAAATAGAACACTATTTAAATATATATCTAGGCTATATTTAGGCTAATACAATTTTGTAGTTGAGTTTAGCTTGTCATCCACGCATTCAAAAAAAGTAAGAAGAGATTTATCTTGAGGAAATATAAACATGTTCCAAGTGAGTGTTACACAATAAAAAGATCACAACTTCCAACTGGAATTATTTAGCCGAATTTTGAAGAATGAGATTTTATCGATATTTATTGGTATTATATTTGATGGTACTTGATGATCATGTAAGCAGTGACGCCGGCAGGATTTTTTTTTTTTGGGGGGGGGAAGACGGGGACAACTTCATAATTTGCGAAGCTCAATTTTTGGACAGCCGGAGGTATACTCCCCAGTTAATTAATTAAAATAATTGCATTTTCGGATTCTGAAACGGCATTTCCTCCATTGTGGAAGCGCAAGAGGAAAAATGTAAAGGTCTTAATATATTACTAGCCTGATAACAGACCTACGTTTCGCACGCCCTAAAATTCGCGGGTCGACGAAGGGCGAAACGTAGGTCTGACGAAAATGTTGTCAAAAGTGCATGTAAGTCGACCGCCTGGCGGTCGACAAAACTGATTGGCTAATTCACAGGGAAATGAGTTGTGATTGGTTGGTCGCTAACATGAAAAGATTTGAAAAGAGCAGAATATTTTCAACGGTAAATCAACAAATATGCATACAGTGTAATATTATAATGCCGAACGACAACTAGTCTATATGATCAGTATCTACCGTCTAAAAATAAAACTAGAGGGAAGTAGAGCAGTACGTGTCAAATTCTTCAGCGTTCTATCTTTCCGTTGTAATAAACAATACAATATATAATTTTTTATACAAGTTTTGTGACTAATCATAATAAGACTCAAATACAAATATGTGCGCATTCATGATTTACATTTTGATAACATAGCACGTACAAAATATTTTATTTAGATTTTACCATTGTATGGCGATTTCAAATGCATAAATTGTAAGAGTTTGGATGCAATTCAACAATGGCACATTGGCCATTGCCAAATTTGCGTAGGCAGATTTTATCGCATTTATAGAATTTGTTGAAAATGTTGTATTATTACTAGCTGTAACTGTTTGTTTACAAAGGCTTAAGTATATAAAAGCAACGGGCACCATGGGGTTATAACCAATATTTTAAATATTTATTCGAATATCTGTATTTAATCGACTCTTACTATGAAATCTGCTGTGCTGGTGTCATCTACTCAGGTGAATAAGATGTTTGTGTGATGTTACTCTGAGTGTATATCCACACCGGGCAGGCTTGAAAAATATGCCTGGCCACGGCGGGATTCGAACCTACGACCTTTGGAATACTAGCCCAATGCTCTTCCAACTGAGCTACGCGGTCAGGACGGTTCGAGTATGCGATATTTCGGAACTGAGTCTAGTTCCTTCCATATCAGTGTAATCTAATAATCATGAAATCTGCTGTGCTGGTGTAATTATCTATCTCCTTAGGACAACACGGTTTCCTACGCAATCGATCATGCACTACACAACTGCTGCAAGTTTTACATAAGATTGGAGAAAACCTTGACAGTAATATTCAAACAGACATTGTCTACTTGGATTTTGCCAAAGCTTTTGACTCTGTCGATCACGGTTTAATCTTGGCAAAACTCAGGCAATTCGGTGTACATTCAAACATGCTAAATTGGTTCACTAACTACTTAACTGGTCGGACCCAAAGAGTTGTCGTTGATTGTGTTGCTTCAGGTTGGTCCTCAGTAACATCTGGTGTACCACAAGGTAGCATACTTGGTCCAATGTTGTTTGTATTATTCATCAATGATTTACCCGACATCATTCCCGATATATCAGAAACTGCTTTGTACGCTGACGACACAAAAACATTTAGGAAAATTACTTGCGAAGATGATGCTCGCCAATTACAACAAACCGTGACAAACCTAGCCACCTGAAGCAATACCAACAATATGAGGTTCAACGAGTTAAAATGTAAAGTGTTGACTGTGTCGCGAAAGAAACAACCTGTGGACTTCACATACCGACTGGGCTCAACCACTCTTACTCATGTTGAAAAAGAGAAAGATCTTGGGGTTACAATGACTGGAAAGCTTTCATGGGATTCTCATATCCATGAGATCACAGCTAAAGCCAACAAGCTGCTCGGTCTATTGAAGAGAACATGCCCTTTCCTGACTGACGACAGCGTCCGACGTATTTCGTACCTTTCGTTGGTAAAATCCAATCTATGTTATGCCTGTGAAGTTTGGTCCCCATACATCTGCTCACAGAAGACAAAGATAGAGCGTGTGCAGAGACGAGCCACTAGATGGATATTGGCTCGCCAGAATCAGAAACCGGTTGTAAAGTGACCACAAATAATTTCCAAATATCGTATAATAGTTGTAGTATTTAATAGTAGTAGTAATAATATTCGATCTAAAAGTATAAATACAAGAATTATCTACTGAATAAAGTAAATTAGTAATAATAAACAACATGAACTTACTTCTTTGGCCTATATCACTTTACAATACACCAAATATAAACCTATTTCTGAACGTTAAACCTCGAGTAAACAGCTTAAAACCAACGTGTTTATTTCCCGCTATTTTTCTGTCACGTGACTTTGTCTGTTCAATGACGTAATTATTTATCTATTTTTAACTTAGCGAAACATCCTCCACCCCAATGAGGACATTGTTCTCATTCTATTCTCCGTCCACGGGGTGTATTACTGAGATTTTAGTAATAGGTCTTCGGTAATTACCATTTTGTGTTTTTACTGTTACATTTCGAACTTTTCCATCTTTACCTGGATGAACTTCAATAATTCTTCCGATCGTCCAATTGCCTCGTACTGCATTCGAATCAACTAACATGACAATATCGTTGACTTTGACATCGCGTCGTTGAACATCCCATTTCTTTCGTGAAACTAAACAGGGGAAGACGTCTCTGGTCCATCGTTTCCAAAACGAGTCAAGAATCTGTTGTAGAAATTCAACTCTATGAAACGGGTTCTTTGTCTTCAGGAATGGTCCTTGTGGAACATGCGAGGAAGCTCTTTCTAATAAAAGGTCATTCGGACATAGGTATGTACCATCATCGGGGTCGTTGGTTGGTCTACCAATTGGTCGTTGGTTTACCAGATTTGCTACTTCAAGCAGTACGGTGTGCAATTCAAATGGTGTGAGAAGGTTATCTCCCATGGCTTGTTTAAGGGCTAATTTACAACTTTTTACTAACGATTCGGCACATCCGTTTTGATGTGGGGCATTAGGAGTAATGAATTTCCACTCCATTCTTTTATCTGCTGCATACTCCTTGAGTTTCTTCACATCCCAACCTTGGATCATCTTTGCTAATTCGCTCTCTGCGCCGACCAGTTGTGTTCCATTATCGCTCAACATTAATGAAGGGTAACCTCTAATCGCGAAGAATCTTCGGAGTACTTGGGTGAATTCCATTGTTGAACAGTCTGTTGCAAGTTCCAAATGAACTGCCCGAGTGTTCAGACAAGTAAACAAAACACCATAGTGTTTAGTGGTTTTATTTCTTCCAATTTTGACTTTATACGGACCGAAATAGTCACAAGCTGTATAGTAAAATGGAGGTGTTTGAGGCATCAATCTTATCTTCGGCAGTTCAGCCATAACTTGCGATTCAATCTTTGGATGCGACTTCTTACAGTAAATACACTTTTTCTTGATTAACTTTGCCAATTTTTGCACTCCGATAATCCAAAATTTTCTTCTTGTTTTCGCCGCTGTCGACGCTATCCCAGTGTGAGTAATCTGATGTACATCTTTGGTAATCAGGTATGAAATGTGGTGGTTCTTGGGAAGAAGTACTGGATGCTTCGAATCATACGTTACGATAGCTTTATCCACTCGTCCGCCGACTCTTATGATTCCTTTGTCATCTGTGAATGGACTAAGCATATTGAACTCTTTGTTCTTAACACGTTCGTGTAACTCTTTTTGTGCTGTCTTGATCCATAACTCTTCGGCCTGTTCTAACTCAACAGCTGTTAACGGGTCGACATTATCTTCGGGTTTCGTTTTTAATCGTAGATTTCGTATGTATCGTAAGATCCACGCCGTCACTCTCAACAATCTCTTCCACTTCGAAAATTTCGTTGGGTCAATTACTGTCGGTACGGTGCTTAAGGAAAAGGCTGCTTGGGTATTTCGACGTTCTTTGTCGAGTTCCGCGGGATCGATTAGCATAGCTGGTTTTTCAGGCCATTCTTCTTTGGGTTGATTCAGGAACTTTGGGCCATTCTTCCAACGGTGTTCTAGATCTTTCGCTGGAATGCCTCTCGATAAATCATCGGCTACATTGTGCTCACTTGGTATGTGTCTCCATGTCGATGGATCACAATTCGTTTGAATTTCCGCAACCCTACTCGACACAAATGGTTTGAATTCTCTTGACTGACTACGAATCCATGTAAGGACTATCATACTGTCCGTAAAGAAAATAAATCTCTCGAACTGTAAACGACATTCTTCTATTATGGTCTTGTACAATCGACTAGCTAGAACTGCTGCCTGTAGCTCCAAACGAGGTATTGTCAATTCTTTAAGAGGGGCAACTCTCGACTTAGCAGATATAAATCGACTTTCATAATTACCACTTGACTTTTCCCAGCGTAAATAAGAACATGCCCCAAATGCATCTCGAGACGCGCCCGCAAAAATACAAAGTGTCGGTAGTCCAATAGTGTTCATTGGTGTTAAACTTCTTGGGAACGAGACATTATTCAAGTCCTCGATTTCTGCAAAAAACTCAGTCCACCACTTTGATGCCTCAGATGAAAGTTCTTCGTGCCAATCTAATCCTTGCTGCCAGAGTCGTTGTAAACCGATTTTTGCACGGATCAGGAACGCCGCTGCGAATCCAATTGGATCAAATACACGAGCCACTTTACTAAGGATCTTTCTCTTCGTTAATTTCAACTCGCTTGAATTTTCTTGTGACGGTACAGATAGCTCATTGGCTTTACATTTAAACGTGAAAGCGTCCTTACTATTGTTCCAGACAACACCTAGAACCTTTCCTTCGGATTCACCTTCCAAAAACTTAACACTTGATCTTTCTTCAGACGGTAGATTTTCTTCTAGAATTTCGTTCGATAACCACTCTTTCACTTTAAAGCCTCCTTTATCTAAGATTTCGTCCAGATCTTTCGTCAGTTGCTGGGCACATTCGACATTGGGTACGGAATCACAAATATCATCCATGTACGTATTCTTTTTCAACACTTCGGCTGCATATGGATGAGCGTTTTCTGCTTGGTCTGCCGTCTTTCTCAATATATGCAATTTGTGCCATTGCCGGTGCTGGTTTGTCACCAAAGGTTAACACAGTTTTTACGTAAGTGTCTGGTGGTCTAGTTGTATCCATATCTCGCCACAAAAACCGATGTACATGCTGGTCTTCTTCAGGTATTCCAATTCTGTGATACATCTTTGATATATCTCCGCTTACAGCGACCGGTTTCTCTCTGAATCTGAGGATAACTCCCAACATGCTGTTCAAAAGGTCAGGACCTTTTATCCAACAATCGTTAAGACAGTGTCCCTTGTATCTTGCTGAAGAATTAAATACGATTCTTACTGGCGTGCTTTTCTTATCACGTCGAACAACTTCATGGTGAGCTATATAGTGAACGGGACCTTTGTAATCATTTATTTATTTTTCTGTTAGCTTTCGTGAAAACCCGAGATCTTCCATCTGCTCCATTTGTTCTTGATATGCTTTTGCATGCTGTAGATTCCCTTTCAATCGTTTTTCAGTTGCTTCCATCTTCTTCACAGCTTGTTCTCGGTTGTCGGGAAGGGTTTTGGGGTCAGTTTTCCAAGGGTACGCCATTTCCCATTTATTTCCAATTAGCTTGCATCCTTGCTCGATTAGTTTGGTTTCTTCTTGTTCGATCTTGCTCAACTTTGGCATTTCAATATTTGATTGACTAACTCCCATTGCTTCGCTCGTCGAAAAGTCAGTGAGATCTACAGGTCTTGTATACTGGACATGAAATATTCTACTTGTTTGCTGCAAGCCTGGTATCGCTCCAAAAATAATCCAACCAAGAGGTGAATGTCTCGCAACAACGTTACCAACTTTCTTTGTGTCTCCAGTATGCATATAAGCGTGATCAATTCCAATAAGCATATCGATTGGGCCACATTCTCGGTAAATTTTCACTTCAGGGATTCCAATTCCTTTTGCCATTTCACCAATATTGATATTTGAAATGTCATCGCTAATATGTGGAATTCCAACAGCTTTGACTGTGAACTTCGCACCAGACTCCAATGACGTAATGGGAACTTGATATACTTTTGTCGCCAACATTTCTTCTTCACCGCCCACTTTTCTAATAGTTATCGAAACATCCTTTCCCTTTAAATCCAAATTCTTTGCTGTACTTGTACAAATCAGACTTATTTGTGCTCCAGAGTCGAGTAGAATGTTCCCTTGTTTGTGTCGATTGTTCTTTCCAGATATCTTCACTGTTATAACTGGCAGCATTGCTTTCGTGTTGTTTTCTACCGATGCTACACCCACTGATGCTGCAGGATTTGAAGGATGCAAAAGAATATGATGATAATATTTACATTGAACGCCACTTATTTTCTGTGTACACTGCTTCCTTCTGCTACAGTTTGATGCTCTGTGGTCACGTCCGGCCTTCTTAAGACAACTGAAACAAGGTGGTTTTCTCTTACTGTTTTCAAACGGTCCTCTGGACTCATGGACTTAAATTTTTCACATTGGTCTACCCAGTGCGTTGAATTGTCGCAGATCCAACACTTTGGTGGTTTTCCTCCAGATAGCTGATTGACATATCTCGAACCCTGACTCGAATTTCTCAGTGGAGCAGTTGCACGCATCCTCGACTTCATTTCCGTCTCCATCCAAGCAATGAGACCTTGTAAGCTTGCTGGCTTTTCATTCCTTTCCAATTCACGAGCCCAAATCTTTCTATCTTCCACACACATTTTCTGTTCTATTAGTGACAACATGTGATTGTTATCCATATCATGGGGTTTTCCCACTCCCTTCATCGTCTTGAAACTACGCTTTACTAAATGCACCAGATCACAAAATCGTGAGTCTTCTCCTTCTTTTAGGGGTCGGATCTTTGACAGATCTTGGGTTACTTGGTCCGACACATATCTGGGGTCTCCATAGATTGAGTCTAAATATTGCCATGCACCATCATAATCTGTACCAATTCCTTTGATAAGCTCTAGGCGTTTTCCCTGCAAGCATGCACGAAGGTACGTCATTGCATCCCTTTTACTGTATCTAGATTCAATAGCA